TTGCTGGACGAGTGGCGACTGCCTAGGCATTCAAAAACAACCGCCATTGTAGAGACGCATGCAGGCTTGAGGCGGCAAAGCGAACGGCGGTTGCTTCCTAGCGACGTACACACGGTCGGAGACAGCAGACGGTCATGTTTGGCGTCCCCGTCCAGCAGTTGCCGTCTGCATGGCTTGCGGCGGTGACAAGTCCGACATGCGCGTGGAGCGCTTCCATCGCCGTCCTGCTTTGTCTCGTACCACCAGCTAGAGCCTTGACCGTCAGAATCCTCTGCGAAGTCTATTCGGCTGTGGTCCATCGTCCATTTGTCTCCGCACCAATCGCCTTTCTCTTCTCTGCTAAGGATGGCCCACTGCCAAAGTCCGACTCACTATGGTCTCGACTTCAAGCGGCCACTACGCTGCAATGGCGCGCCAAGCATGCCGGCCTCAGGCATGAAAGGCACATCGACTGGACTCAGCCTGACCAGCCCCAGGAAGGCGACATGATTGAAGCCTGGGACCGTATCGCCGAATGGGATTCGGCCTGCTTCCATCCTCACAAGCTCGAACAGCTCCGACGCTTTGGCGACTCTCTCGCGGACGATGCTCTCGCTCGCCTCGATCGCCTTCCCGCCGTCGAGCCGCCATCCACAGACACGCTTCGCAGGATCTTCGACGAGGCCTCAAAGCAGGTTCCTGGCTCTGATCAGCCTACGGAATGTCGAACATTTTGGCAGTCCATCGACCGCAGGCCTCCACCTGGAGCAGGCGCATTAGGGCTCGATTGGTATCGCTCCCAATACAATCCTGAAGAGGTCCAAGGTCTGCCACATTGGCCGCGACATCCTTCCTCAAATCAGAAGGAGCCGGTTGCGTCAATTCCCGTCTGGTCCCCGTCAGGTTCAGAATGCATAGACGCTGGGAACGGTCTCGAGGAGCTTCGGGCGGAAGCCGAAATCATCCGCCGCGGTCAGGATGTCTTTTATCGCTACGCTGGCCCCATCCTTACCGTGCTACTCCACTTCAGCCTTGCGGGCGGGTTCGCTTCGCCCAGAATCACCGAGGTGCTGAAACAGACTGCGTATCTCGTGCCCTCCTCCGCCAGCGTTCCAGGTCAAGACATGCCCAAATCCGCTTCAGCCAGCCTACCAACGATCGAGGACCTTCGACGGGTCTTTAAAGTAGACAAAGAGCGAGCCGACCGTACTTGGGATCGGCTCTTAGAGACCACGCAATTTGTGCTCGATGTGATGGAACATGCCGATAGCCTTCATCCACCGAGCAGCCCTGCTGCCACACCTGCCCGCGCCACAACATCTTCCGAAGATCAGGCGGCATCCTCAAGCTCCCCTGAAAGCGGAGGCGACGGTTGGCAGTCGGCTGTGCGGGTTCGTCTGCTGCATGCCAACGTGCGACGGCGTGTTCTCAAGATGGCCGAACGGCGAAAGGCAAGTTCCTCACCTGGCGGCCAAGCCATATACGATGTCGAGAAGAACGGGATGCCGATCAACCAGGAAGACCTGCTCGGTACATTGTGTGCATTCTCGTCCGCTCCACTCGCCATGCTCCAGAAGATCGGCATCACTCCTACAGCGCAGGAACGTGAAGATTACATTGCGCTGTGGAGGCACGTCGGATTCTACATGGGCATAGAGCCGGCGCTGTTGCGTCGCGCCTTCAAAGATGCCCACACGGCCGACCGTACGCTGTGGTGCACCATCCTTCACCTGTTCAGCAAGGTCGAAGTCTTGGACAGTCAAGCAGTCGGCGGCAAAGGCTCGTCAGGCCCAAGAATGCAAGGCCCGACAATCCCCGTGCTAATCGCATGCGCGGACCGACCGCCCTTCCACACTCCGCTTTCGGCGCATGTCGCCATTGCACGGCGTCTCATTGGCAAATCTTTGGCTGACGCGCTCGCGCTGCCAGCTTCATCTGCCAAACGCGAGGTGCTGACGGACATCGCATTCCTCGGCATGCGCGTTCCGATCGCGTTTGGGAGCATCTATCCACGTCGGTCGTGGGAGAGGCGCCGGCTCCAGCTGGCTCGACCCCTGCTGCGCCGCCTCATCGTGTTCAGTTTCGGCGACAAGCGGACCAAGTTCGAGATGCCTTTGCATCAAGGCGCGGCGGCGGCGGAGGCGGCGGCGGCTGCAGAGTCCAGGCCGACCGAGGGAGAGCGGGTCAATGTCCAGACGCAATCGCGCAACCACCAAGAGGTCCCCGTAGACAAGGAGGCCAACCTGCAACTCGTGCGACAGTGGCGTCGGCTGATGCGCGAGATGATAGCCGTCATGGCCGCGAGCGCTTTGCTCGTCGTCGCAGGTGCCGCTGCAGCTTGCTATCGGCTCTTCGCTTCGTCTCAATCCGGCAAGTAATGCACAAGCGTAGGTTCGTCCAGAGTGGTCAGGTCAACGCGCATTGTGATACGGCCGAAGCTGTCTGGTGCGCCCACAGATGCTCCTCTTGCACCAGCAAATACCCCTTTAAGCCATTTACCTGGAAGATGTATTCATGAAAGCATACATAGAATTCCCAGACATCAATTGGCCGGTTGGCCCAATGGTAA